GGCCATCCCTCCTGGGGGGACGATTTCTCACTTTCTGTCTCTGTCTCCCTCTGTCTGTCTGGTGAATGCACGTGCCCTATAGCAAAAACCTCTCCAAAAAAAAAAAAAGAAAAAAAGTTTAAAAAAATATACATATATACTTTTTAATATATATTTTTGAGCTGGTTACTGGGTTACAACCAATCACGCTAGTCACCTTTCAGGTTTTTGGGCTGTTTGTGCAGCCTACCTCCACCTGTGACCAACAACCTCTCTACCTCACTCTCGCACTGGTGTTTTTATGACACTCTCCCATCCCCAGGGTAAACATTACTTTCCCATTCCACCAACCCATATCCCCTGGAAACGATGCAGCTAGCCATAGTCTCTTGGAAGTCATCTTCCAGGAGGCTGCCCAATTTGAATCGCCTGCCCTTTGTTTAAATACACTCTGTTAAATTTTGGTTTGTCTAAATTTGTTTTTAACAACACTGAGAAATAAAAAAAAAAGATGTAATGTTCCCCCACCACCACCACCACCCTTGCCAAGTTTGCCATCTGTAGCAAAGACAGGACTCCCACATAAATAATTATAATACAAAGTGGTATGTTTCTAACTATAACACAAAGCACTGTGTTTCTAATACAAGGTCTCTGTCTGTCTCATTCCCTGTCCTTATAAACTCGCCAGGACTCAATTATGGCAACCATATCCTGATGCTAATCACTTTCCAAAGGCCATGCCTTCCCCCCACATCCCCCTCCTGCCTTAGGTTTTTGCCATAGGATGTGTAGGCTCTCTGGAGAGAGACAGAGAGGAGTAAACTGAGATATTACCCTTCAAGGAGGAGGGCCATGCCTCAATCCCCTCTCCTCCACTTTCCTTTTGGGATTCTAGGCATGCACACACATGCACCCAGAGTGATTTTCGAGCTAGAGATCCAGGACTCAAACCTTGGTCAGCCATGTGGGAGTCTAGCACCTTAACACTCACACCCTCTGCTGGCCCAAGGCCCCTCCTTTCAGGACCATAACCACATTAAGTCTTCACTTAATTTCAAAACACCATTACAATGGCCCACCAAATTTTAACACATAAATGTGAACCACAGGGAATACATTCAAAGCATAGCGTGTGCCAACTTAGCACACATGACATGTAAGTCACAGCCAAGGAGCAGGTCAAAAACGCCCTGAGTCGGACTATGGCTTCAGCTACGTAGAGGGATGGAGCAGAAGGCAGTGCTGTTCTCATGTGCAATCTATGAAATGTATATTGGCCTCACCCACTAGTAATTTTGGCCTCATTGGTGTCCTGAGCTTGTATTTTCTCATCCTCCTTCTTCCTCTCAATTTCCTTTAAGAAGGCAGTTTGGAAGCTGAGAAATCATTGCTTCATCCTAAAGAGTTGAGATTTGTACTTAAGAATCAAGCATAGTGTTTACCTATGGAACTTTCCATCTCAGATGGAGAAAACACATGTTTGATAATAGGCAAATGATGAGAGGTTCTCTGGTGCATCTCTTGATTCAAATCTGACTTGGAAGACTAGAGGCTGTGAACATATGAGTTCTCTAGTTGGGTATCTGGTCATGTTTCTTGCCAAAGCTGCCTTTGTATGGTTTTGCTTAACCACAGTTTCTGGAAGTATCAGCTAGTCCTCGGCCCAGAGCCATCCTTTCTTTTCCTGGAGCCAGAGAAGAGTCCAGAAGCTGTACTTGGTTTGATGCAGACAGAAGGGTCTTCTTGGTTTCAGTTCACCCTGGTTATAGGGGATGTTCTCTCTCTAAGCCCATGATGTTCCTTTTTTTTTTTTTAATGATTTTTTTTTCAGAGTTTTATTATAGGATGTATACACTTGCCAAAGAGACAGAAAGCAAGAAATCATCCCCCAGAGGGTAATGGCCATGCCACAATCACTTCTCCTCCATTCTCCTCCCAGGATCTTGAGCACACACACACACACACATGCCTGGCATAAATTTCAAGCCACCCAGTCCAGGACTCGAACCATGATCAGCCATGTAGGAATCCGGTGTTCCTTAAGGACTGCAGTTCTGCCACTGCTCAGCCAAGCTGGGCATTCTGCTCACGTGAACCTTTTCCCCTTGATTTGTTTACCTCCCCAGGGAACTTCCAGGAAACAGGCCGTGGTACTGTTAGTAATTTGCTTCCCTCTGTTCCCTTCTTAGCCTAGGAAATTCTCCTCTTTCTCCCAGCTACCTCCACTTTATCCTTCAGTCCCTTAATGAGGGCAAGGTTTCCAGGAAGCCATTTATCTTCTAGGAGTTTCTTCTTTCTGCCCTATAAACATGAACCTCTCCTGGGTGAAAGAACATGAACTCTCGGTTACCTTCTCTTTTAAAGGCAATGAAATACACGAACAAAAGCAAAAGCCAAATCTCAATACTTTATCCTGTCCCAGAGATGATTATTTAAAAATTTTTTTTATTAAACTATAATTCACAAATAATAAATGGTGCACATTAAAAATGATCAGAAAAAGAAAGAAAACATGATCAGTTCTGGCGTGGGGATAAACCCATGAAACCATCACCAGCATCAAGATAATGATCTAATTCATCAGCTCCAAAAGTGTCTGTGCACCCCTTTGTGATTTTTCTAACCACTCTCCCCTCCCTGGGAAACACTGACCTGCTTTCTGTGAATGTAAATGGATTTGTTTTCATTTTCTCGAATTTTGTATAAATGACAGCATGCAGTATGCACACTTTTTGTCTGACTTCTTTCATAAAGTGTAATTATTTTGAAATCCATCCATGTTATTGCATACAGCAATAGCTCATTCTTTTTCAGTTACTAAGTGGGCTTAGGGTTAGGCAAGTTAGGGTTAGGGTGAGGCAAGTAAAGTCTCTAGTGTGCAAAAGTAATTGTGTTTTTAAAAATTATTATAGCCGGGGCACAGTTGCCCTATTGCATGTACTTGGTATGCTTGTCCAAGGTCAACTGACCTTATATGTGTATTGTGTCTGGGCTTTTATTCCATTCCATTAGTCTTTGTGTCTGTTTTTATGCAAGTACTATATACTGTTGTTCCTTTTTTTCTTTTTAAAATCTTAGCAGAGAGTATGTGTGCTCAGCAGAGAGAGTGAGAGAGAGAGAGAGAGAGAGAGAGAGAAAGCACCTCCCCATATGGGACATGACCACACTACAATCCCTTCTCCTTCATATCTCCTTTTAGGATTTTGGGCATGCATGTACACATGCCTGGCATGATTCTCAAGCCATGGGGTCCAGAATTTGAACCACGGGGTCAGTCATGTAGGATCTAGCCCCTTTAACCAACACATCATGGGCTGGTTTATGCTGTTCCTTTTATTTAAAATTGATTTATTTCTTTCATGAGAGTGAGAGTCAAGGATGGAGCGAAAGACAAGTACCTTCAACAGGGTCTCACACTGTGATCCCCACTCCCAGGCTCTCCAGCTAGCCAGTAGAATGGGCATGCACACCTGGTATATACAGATTGTTAGGGAACTGACCCCACATTTCTATATACGAATCAAGCACTGCTGAGCAGCATATTATTGTGGTGTCACCAGATCACCCAGCCACGCTGTTTTAATTACTGTAGTTTTGTAATATATTTTAAAATCTGAAATTGTGATTCCTCCAATGTTGTTCTTTTCCAAGATTGCTTTGGTTATTTGGAACCTTTTGTAGTTCCAAATGAATTTTAGATTTTTTTCTACGTCTATAATAAATGCCATTAAGATTTTTGAAATACTAGATTTTGGGGTGTTTTTTGTTTGTTTGGTCTTCAAAATAGGTTCTATTTTCCTGCCTTTTTACATGCCTGTTAATTTTTTATTTGTAGAATAATTTTTTATTGCATAGAATGTCATTGATCTGAAATTCAAATTTATCTCAATATCCTGTACTTGGTCTGATACCCCTATGTCCTGAGAACTCTAGTCCTTGCCATCATGGTACTTTTTGTCTCCTGAATTCAGGGTTGAGGTTCTGCCTTAGTTCTTGCTCATTTTGCTATGGCCTGGCCGCCCTTTTGTGACTCTAAGACTCTAAGACATAGGACTCAACTTCTTTGCTTCCTGTGTCTCTCAGGGTGCTGTTGTCTGTTACCTGACATTCATTATTTCATGAGCCAGTTTTGTTGTTATTTTTTTAGAGAGAGATTTTTGCAATAAGGAGTGTCCGCTTCCTGAAGAGACAGGGTGAGACAGAAACCAAGAAATCACAACCCCCACCCCAGCAAGGATAGTCACACCACAATCCCTTCTTCTTCATTCTCCTCTCGGGACCTTGGACACACATGCACATGCGCCTGGTATGAGTTTTAAGTCATTGAGTCTTGGACTCCAACCACAGTCAACCACGTGGGAGCCCAGTGACATAACCATTGCACCATCTGCTGGTCCCCACGAGCCAGTTTTTCACAGTTTGTCCTTGGGGTTGGTTCATAAAACAGACTGAATTTGGTTTCTGTTATTCTTTCTTGTTTGAAAATGAAAGGTCATCCCAGAAGTTTTTGTTTTTTACCAGGGGCTAGAACACAGTGCTAACAGGGGCCAAGGATGTATGTTTAATCCTTTGTAGGCATTTGCTGGTTTGTTTCATGGTCTCATGCAATTAGCTACCAAAGAGAAAAGAATCCTATGGATCATAGGCCTGGTGAGGACAGCCCACAGCTGTTGGGGGGTTAGTTCAAAGTGCATGTTGTTAATAAGGGAGTGGGGATGGGCCACTGGGGTTATTACCAACTACAGAGGCCATTACCTCACATGACTTTAGTTAGAGGTTGGACCAAGAGATAGGTTTGGTTGAGGGCCAAACATTGGCGGGCTGAATGGTATTTGGAATCAGGGCTGGGAAGATGAGTCTGCTAGAGGCAGGGTGGACAAACTGGAGCCACATGGAGACTTAGGAAGATTTAAGTGCTCTTATTCCTTGTTCAATAATCAGTGTCATTCTCCCTAGGGGGCTCCAGAAATAAAATTCAAAGCACATCCTCATTTTTTTCTGTTTTTCTCTTGGTCCAGCTATTTGCCGCTACCCTCTGGGCATGTCAGGAGGCCACATTCCAGATGAGGACATCACAGCCTCTAGTCAGTGGTCGGAGTCCACAGCTGCCAAGTACGGAAGGTGAGGATGGCCTCCTAAAGCCTGAGCTCTGGACTGGACAGAGTCCCTGGACACAGAGCCTTGGCTCACGGAGCTGGGGGAAGAGGGATGATAGTGGTGGGAGCTGGTGAGAACGGGGGAAGGACATAAGGTAGGCCTGTCCTGCTCTGTATGTTTTTAGGAGGAAAATTCAGGGCTTGGCTGTGTGTGCTGGTCTGGCAACCCCATCCCAACCACAGAGGCCCCAGAACCACACCACCCACAGTGAATGGATTCATTGTTGTGCAGTGGATTTGCTTTCCCTGACCTTCTCACTGTGAGCTGCTGCAGGAAGCAGGCCAGAATGGCAGTCATGAGAAGGTGAAATCATGTAGAACACCAGGAGCCAGAGTGTCCAGAGTTTCCTCTTCTCGTGGGTACCTATGAACATTACTTACTGGCAGAGCAGACACAGGCCACCAGCAAGTTCTTCCCCTCTCTCAGGGACATCTCACACACAAGGACCATCCTTCCCCCATAAACAGAGCATGGTGGGCTCCTGAGGAATCATCTGAGGAGTCTTCTAAATCAATAAAACTCCCCACAGGAAAACTGCACTGTTGGTTGTGACCTAATTCTCCTTTCAAGTCCAGTTATTTTTAGTGTAAAGAATTGATTTTGTTAAAATGGGATCACCCATGAGAAAGCAACCCTTGCAAACCTTCCCCCTAATTTCCATCTTGGTGTGTGAAAGCCCACAGAGATGGGTGGTGGGGTTGGAAGGCAGCAACAAATGAGTGGGTAACATCCATGAGAAAAGGAAACATTCCAGGGAAGAGAGAGAGTGGTAAGAGTTTCCCAAAATAAACCTTTGACTTTTTTCACAATTTTGCGCAGTGGTAACTCGGCCAGGAGGAAATAAAAGGAAGCCAGATTACTCACTACTCCCCTGACATGCTCTTATCCCTCATTCTCTCCATGAGTTTCCATGGCATTTTGCTGGTGCACTTCATAGCCCACACTGGAGATCCTACCAGCCCTCCCTTCCTGCTCCCAAAGCTTGCTATCCAAGCACGGCACAGCTGGTTTTGTTAGACTGAGTCTGCAAGTGGAAGAGGGGGATGTGAAATGACTCCATGGTGGGACAGAGGGTAGAAAGGGTGCCATTTCCCTCAAGGTCACTAAATCAGGATGTAAAATAAACGCTACATGTCATCTAAAGGCCTCCAGCTCTCTGTGGTGACTGTCTCTCTGGGTTTCTTGATGATCCAGGGACAGGGAACTGACTATAAATGGACTCTATGGTGGTGGTGAGACCCATGAGGAGAACCCAAAAAGTCTGTTGGGGTTACCCTCAGGGCAAGGCAGCTGCTTGCTGTGGTAAATACTTCTGTGGTTTCATGATTGCTCCCTCTCTCCCCAACACTTGCCTCTTAAGATTGGACTCAGAAGAAGGAGATGGAGCCTGGTGCCCTGAGATTCCAGTGGAACCTGATGACCTGAAGGAATTTCTGCAGATTGACTTGCGTACCCTACACTTTATCACTCTTGTGGGGACCCAGGGGCGCCATGCAGGGGGTCATGGCATTGAGTTTGCCCCCAAGTACAAGATCAATTACAGTCGGGATGGCACTCGCTGGATCTCTTGGCGAAACCGGCATGGGAAACAGGTAGGAAGAACAGAAATGCAGACCTTAGGATGCCCGAGACCACGCTTTGACTCAGGCTAGAAGAGGAAGAGCACAAGCTGTCTGCATGGGTATGCATGTCCACAGAAACGGCATGCCCTTATGAATGAGTGACCCAGAATGGTGGAAGGTAATAAATGGCCACAGAGAAGAATGTCAAGGCTGCTGGAAAAGCTAAGTGATACAATCTGCTCCTTGCACTAAAAGGTTGATCAGTGGGACCAGTAGATGGTGTAATGGTTACATCACTGGACTCCCATGTAGTTGACCACAGTCTGAGTCCTGAATCTGGCAGCTTAAAACTCATGCTGGGCATGTGTGCACACATGCCCAAAATCCTGAGAGGAGAATGGAGGAGAAGGGATTGCGATGTGGCCATCCCTACTTGGGGGTGTGTGGAAATTTCTTGCTTTCTGTTTCTCTGTCTCTCTCTGTGACTTTGGTGAGCACACATGCACTACTGCGAAAATCTCTCAAAAAATAAATAATAAACTTGATCAAAAGAGTAAGAGGTAAAAAAAAGTGAGCATTATTTAATATCTCTTCACTCTTTTTCTATCTCCTCTCCTCAGGTGCTGGATGGAAATAGCAATCCTTATGACATTTTCCTAAAAGACTTGGAGCCACCCATTGTAGCCAGATTCGTCCGGTTCATTCCAGTCACCGACCACTCCATGAATGTATGCATGAGGGTGGAGCTTTATGGCTGTGTCTGGTTAGGTAAGTCTGTAGCACAGGGAGCTCATAGCGCTTATGAAAAGCCCCACCCCCTGGAAAAGACAGGCAATAAAATCAGAAAGAGATGGGATCAGTTGCCCCTGGAATGAAGTGATTCCCCACTCTGGTAGAGAAAGGAGTGTTGTTCATTCACCCAGAGTCTGGTGTCTCATACATGGAATAATGCATTAATGAATAATGCATTCATTCGGCCATGGTGAAGAAGAATAATGAGGTACAGCA